GGTACGGGGGGGGGGTTGGGGAGCCGCTGGGGGGCCCGGAGCCCGCAGCTGAGCAAACCCAGCTCATGCCAGGACGGGACGGGACGGGGCCGGATGGCTGTGACCTCGAAGCGCTGGGGGCTGGCCCTCAGTTTGAAAGTCAGCCACTTGGCTGGGAAGTTGTCTGCCACACACACAAAATTTCCAGCCAGATTTCTTTTCCCATCGGCTTCCGCAGGGTGGTTGCCACGCGTGACCTAGCATGTCAGCTCCCCCGGAGCGCAGCTCTAACGGGAGGAGCGAAGCCCGGGGTGGGCGCAGGGTGGGCATCTCGGGAAGGCATCTGAGCGCAGCGCTTTGTCATCTAAACCCAAGAGCTTCTTTTACTACGAACAAACAGGAAAGGAGGAAATGTCAACATGCAGTTTGTCCTCAGGTCCAGCTTTTCTTAGAGGCTGGTTGTGCTTTCTCATGGTCGTGTTCATTCGGGACAGGTCTGGTGGCCGCTGTGGGGCCTGTGCGGGAGATCAGGCCAGGGAGCTGCCCTCTTCTTTCTAAGGCCCCATTGTCTGTGTGGTCAATTGAGGTAGCCACTGGCCACATGTGACCGTTTAAGTGGAATAAAAGTAAAAATTCCATTTTGTAGTCACACAAGCCACATTTCCAGGGCCCCGTAGCCGCCGGTGGCTGGTGGCTCCCATGTTAGTTGGTGCAAATAGAGAATCTTTCCATCATTCCAGAAAGTTCTTTGAACAGTTCTGGGTAACAACCAGGGATCTATTTAAACTCCAGCTACATGCAAAGGTTTGACTAGTCCCTGAGACTACACCGTTTTGAGTTTTCTGATTTTTTTGTGTGCGACTTTAAAGGCACCTTTGCTGTTCAAACCAATGACAGCCCTCCTCCTGCGTCCTGTTTTTCTTCTTAACTCTCACTCCTAGGCTACATTTCTTCTCACCAGTCAAACCTCTTTATAACTGAAGTCAGTACATCTAGAGCCAATAATAAAAAGACGCCTTCCTTTACACGCGTAAGGGCAAGTTTAGAGGTTTGGGACCCAGAACCAAAGCTCAAAAGTAGGACTCCGTCCGAGTTGATTCCCGGAGAGCTCATGAGGCCTGTTGAGGACACATGGGGTGTTGGGGTGTCGTCTCCCCAGCAGCATTCCCCTTGGCGTCGTCCTGCTTAGGGAGTCAGCCCTGGGCCGCGCGGGTGGGGCTGGGGACCTCACATTCTTGATGGAGGGTCTTCATGAGCCGCTCCCGGTCTCCTAGGTCGAGCTGGAGGTTCCCCAACTCTGCAGATTCATCCTGAAGACCAGCCAGTGCACCCTGAAAGAGGTATACGACTTCAGCCCTGAGGGCAAGGCCTTGCTGAAGAAGACCAAGAACTCCGAGGAGTTTTCTGCAGCCATGTCCAGGTAAGGCGCTGGCCTGTGCCCTTCCCTCCCTGGGCTTCCTGTGTAGTGAGTGAGGGTGTTGGTGTGCGTGTGTCCACTAAGGTACGAATGTGTGTGTGCACAGCAGGCACACATATGAGTGTACCCGTATTCAGCGTGGATCGGGGAGCTGCTGAGTTTTCACGTCAATCCATTGGAGGGAAGCGTTATGTACCCTCCCCTTGTGAAGTTCTAGTTACCATTTCAATGTGTTCCTAAAAGATCTCATGCTTAAACGTCTCGAGATCATAAAGCTGAGATGGTTTGGTTAAGCCTGGAAATTCTTGTTTAAAGAATTAAGCACGAGTGGGCGCATAGTGGTCTCCGGGAAGGGTCCCAGTGGGACTTGGTGCTGCGGCACACACAGTGCAGGTCTGGCCAGCAGGGGACAAGGCCTAGCCTCCGGGTGTCCGGGGAGAGCGCAGGCCTGAGCATCTGCCAGCGGACGCTGACCAGGCCAGCCCTGTGGGTTACAGCTGGCATCTCTTCTGGCCGATCAGTGGCCATGTTATACCAGTTGCTGAACACTTTGAATGCCATCCCTGCCTCATCTTCAAATCACAGCGTATAAAGTCCTAAGAGTGAGGAAATACAGGCAGTCATAGATTTGGAAGCACTGGAAGCTCCATGCCCACCTTTCGGTGTGTTGACCGTTAGACCGGGAAGCCGGTCCTTCGTCGGCAGAATAGGCCCTGACACTGCCGTCTCTCACCAGCGCACCTTGTTTTATGAGACTCAGGTGCGTATGGGGGAGCAGGTACAGTGACGGGAGAGAGTGAGCCGTCGTTACGCGTTGGCCCTTACCCTGGCCGAGCGAAAGGGACTCCTGCTCCTGGCCCCTCAGGGCTCTCCAAGCCCGCACTGCAGTGTCTGCAACTTCCCGAGAGGGCGTAGAGCCGTGGGAGACCTGCCTGCTCTCCGGGTCCTCCTTTTGACTTACTAAGGCAGGTGCAGCCTGGCGCCTTGAAACCCCCGAGAAGAAGTTCCCAAAGGAAAATCCCTGAGGTCAAAGTTGCCCTGAGCCTCAGACATGGCCTGAGACCAACCGTATCAAAGAGGGAATGTCCAACACATGTATGACAAGAAGGGCAGATGGACTCGTAGTCAGGAGATGCAGGAAATGAAGCAAGATATTTATCGCCTTATACTCATAAGACTACAAAAATTGACACAGCTGTAGCACCCCTTGCTGGCGGGCCTGGGAGGGAAAGTGTGCTCTCCTGCGTTGCTGGTGGAATGAGAGCCATTAGCCAACATCCGCTATAATTAAAAACACTATAGCCTTTGATACAGTAACTTCAAACTGTGGGGCTCCAGCCCATAAGAAAAGCAGTAATGTGTGAAGGACCTAAGGATGTTCGTTGCAGTGTTGTTTATGTAGGGGAAAAATCCAGGAAGGGAGAAAATGAATGCCATTAAGTAGGGGAATGTCTCAATAAATTCTATAAAAGCACAGAATTCAGTGTTTTGCAGGGTTTTTTTAGAAAGAATCTGTTAGAGCTCCACCAAATGACTCAGAAGGGTTTTCGTGGAGTAGAATTGAGAAACGGGAGATAAAGAAAATTGTGCATAATGTGATGACATCTGTACCAGACAGGCAGTGACAGAATCCTTCTGCACAGACGTTCACACCGGCACATCGGTGGAGGGCTGTCTGGGTGCGAAGGGCTGGCAGCGGAGATGTGGGTGGAGCAGAGGACGGGTGAGCCAGCGTGGTAGGAAAAGAGATAAAGGAATGCCAACCACGTACACCCACGCTTGTATACCTTCTGAAGAGGTAGAGACGTATTTATAAAGAAAAGATGTAAAAAAGAGAAACAGGTAAAAAAATAAATAAACAAAAGGCTGCAAAGCCACCCAGTTTATGTGCAACAGGCTCCTGATGGAGAAAGGACACCTCTGTGACCACCCTCTCTCTGGCACAGGTACGAGCTCAGACTGGCCATTCCCGAAGGGAAGCAGGTGTTACTTTACCCCAATAAGGAGGAGCCGAAACACATCCTGAACATCAAGAGGGGCATCGTCTCCGCCCTCCTGGTGCCCCCAGAGACGGAAGAGGCCAAGCAAGTGTTGTTCCTGGTGAGAATTTAGGGAGCCGATAAGAACGGCCCTTTGTGCTCACCTCCCCACCTCTGAGCTGGGCCCACCATCCACACAAAGCGAATCATCGACTTAGCTTGGTGGCTGGTTACTCAGGAGGCCCTACCCCCTGTGAAACACCGGTGCCCAAGGCGTCCCTGTCCTCTGGGCTCACTGTGAGATCGTCCCCAGTAGACCGAATTTTAAAGCAGTTTCTGGGGAGCCCGGGCCACCCTACTCCTTTGGGTGATTTTGTTCTTTGCCGACGGGTGTAGCATGGCGAAGCCTATGTGTGTTGCAAACATAGAAAAATATTTGACTCGGTTGCCAGCCTCGCTTAAGAATTTGAGGTTCCGACCCGAGAGAGAATTCAGTTTCCCTCAGTCCCGTGACCTGTCCCGAGCCCTTGCTGTGTTCTCTGTCCTGCGCTGCACTACGCAGAGCTGCATCCCGCAGAGACGTCCCAGGGTTTGGGGGAAGAGCCAAGACACCCAACACAAGGCAGACTGGAATACGTGTCATCGAGGAGTGGTGGAGGAACGCTCCGAGCGCACAGGGCGTAAAGCCGGGTTGGCTTGGTCCTAGGCGGCCAGGCCACTGTGCCTCAGGATCAAACCCCTTCCCTGGTGTCCTCGCTGCACCTCTGGCTGCCAGGCGCCTGCAATGCCCGCCCTCTGCCTGGGAGGAAGAAAGTCCCTCCAAATCCACGTCGCTCCCACCTTTCCTTCCAGGCTCCTTCCCCAGCCTTTCCCAAAGCCCCCGAGGATGTTTCCCCACGTCTAATACACCTGTTGTATCTTCTGCTCCCATAGGATACTGTGTATGGAAACTGTTCCAGTGACTTCACCGTCAAAACGAGGAAGGGCAATGTGGCGACAGAAATATCCATTGAGAGAGACCTGGAGAAGTGCGATCACTTCACGCCCGTTAGCACAGGAGTGAGCCCCCTTGCTTTGATCAAAGGCATGGTAAGTTTCACACCAGCTTTGCCATTCGCACTGTCCTCTTTGCTAGGAACATTCTGGAAGGCAGAGCTAGTGGGTGTCTCAGAGGAGGACCTGCCCAGCCTCCCCTTTGTACGGGCTATCATGAGAAACTAGACAAGGAAAGGACTGCCGAGGCCACGCGGCCTGTTATTAATTGATCCGGGACCAGAATCAGGTTTCTGATCTCCAGTCCAGAACCCCAGTCCTTTTTGCTGTGTTTCTGACACTAGCACAAAACCTTCTGCCTTCACTTGAGAGTAATGATTGTCTATCCCTGAGAAGTCTCCAAGACTCCCTGTAGGGGAGCAGGCCACTACTGTTCCTTCCTGTGCAAGGGCTGGATGTCCACAGCTCTAAGCATCTAGCTCCAGGAAAGTCCCAAGACCTGGGTTCTGCTCTCGTCTCCCTAACTCCCATGGAGTGACATGACTGAGAGTGCTCCAGAGTCCTGTCTTTCCATGTATGACCCTGCTCCTGCCTGGGCCACCCCCTCAGCACTAACCTTCTCTGATTTCCTCAGCAGAGGTCATGTAGCCTCACATTACCTGAGCTTGCCTAATGCCTTGTAATATCTTCTGGGACATGAACCACAGCCTTATCTCAGTAAACAAGAAGGATTTGAGCAATCATGCTGTGCCTGCCAATGCTTCTGGTCACTGTCCTTGGGCCCAAAAACAGGGAGTCTGGTGACCACAGGGCCATAGTCAGAAGAGGCCAGAGCACTGGTGTCTGTGTGTGTTTTTCTGAGCGACTCTGTATGCTCAGCTCCACTCTGGGCAGCATGGAGGGAGGGGCAGTGGCAGATGAATGTGGACCCTCCCCTCGGGGTGCTTACAGTCTAATGCAGGAACATGGCTCATACACATGCCAATAAAGGACAGATATAGCTTATCCGATAAAGTGATGAACTGAGCAGGGCAGACAAGCCCTGACCAGTCCTAGGCCTGACCGCGAAGGAAAAAGGACTTTTCACGCAGCCCACTGAGCAAAGCAGCTGGTAATTACAACCAGTTAGGAGAAATGATGGGTGAACATCCATGAGTCCAGCTCATAGTCTCACGGAGGAGGTAGAACATGAGACGGAAAGATACAATGGATGTGTCAACGGAAGAGAGACACAAGGATGGGCTTCCAGGAAAGGAAACACAGGGAGCGGTGGTGTGTGAAACACTAATGTGTGGTGGGGCAGGTATGTGTGGGATACCAGGCTATATATCCTCTGTGCAGGATGAGACGTCCACTGGGGCGGAGTAGGATTCTGTAGCTTGGTTCAGCTTTGGATTTGCCAAGTTGTTGCATCCCCTTGTCTAAATGTCAAGTTTTCTTCTTTACCTGAGTTTGTTCAGTGGTACAGAATCCCCACTCTCTCCCCACCCCACCCCTCCTTCCTTGAAGGTAAATGCCTGTGGCAGAAGACTCAAGTTCAAGGCCCAGAGACTGATCAAAGTGCTTTCCCCCCCATCTCATTCACAGACCCACACCTTGTCCACTCAGATCAGCAGCAGCCAGTCCTGCCAGTACACCCTGGACCCCAAGAGGGAGCATGTGTCAGAAGCCATCTGCAAGGAGCAACACCTGTTCCTGCCTTTCTCCCACAAGTAGGTCACCTGCTGCGCCCCTGGTTCATCATTGATGGGGGGGGGG